TATAAGGCATCGGGGAAAAGTAAACAGGAAACGCTAGATTGTATTTTCCATAGTTCATTTATTTGTACTACAATAATCACCAAACTATACATTACTTGCGGTCTAGGAAACTTCGTGACGTAGCAGTGTTAACACGAAAACCATTCCATTTTTAGCTTCACGCTTGGACATGCGTCCAGAGCTGAGGGCTATTGTCCATGGGTCGTCGTCCGTCGTACGTCGTCCGTCTCGTGTCCCCGTCACGTAACATTTGGTTCCGGTCAGCGCACGAACTCAGGACCCGTCTGGCTGACCGCCCACAGTGGTCTGACACATTGGGGTAGTGTTACACCCGGCCGATGCTCCCCATTATGAGCAACGTCTACTTTTGGAGCACGCACAAGTCGGCGTAACTTTCGGAGCCACGGCAATTTTTTGGAAAAAGTGGAAAATTGCCATTTAGTCAGTAGGTTCAACTAGATTTTGCTCATTTTGTTGGTATCTGAAGAATAAGGGCTAGGGGGTATTTGCATATTATAAAAAAAATATCAAACTAGGTAACGGGTTGGCAATGTATTTAGCAGTATTATAGTAAAAAACATCAGAACCGTCTGTGGTGTCACACATCGTCTGGGTTCGTTTTTATCAAGATTCTCATTGACATATATCTTTAATGCAAAATTGGCTATTCCTCTCCACCCTGCCTGATAAAACGTCTATATTAGAGTAAAGATTTACAAAACCATGTCGGAACGCGCAGCATATACCTATTTATTTCGAATGCCATCGTTACAGAAGTGGGTGTAGCGCCATCTATGGTCACAAATTGTGATTCATGTTCGGTTTATAAATTATGTATGTCTGTATAAACAGATGGCAATCGGTTCTAATAATTGTACGTCGATGGTTGCTCAATTAAAACTGACTTCTTCTTACCTCAAGTCATTTGTGTCGCTTTTTGTGGTGAGCTACCAGTGTCATTCGACATTTCATTGACTGTATGGTTATAATGTAGACTAGCAAAGTACCCGTCTTCGGACGGTTGGAATATTGAATGAGTATATGTAGTGTGTAGCTCACCTAAGGATTAAGGGCGTCTTCGTAAGAGTATGTTTTTTGGTCTTTGTGTCTGTGTGTGAATAAACTCCGCCGTGGGTTTGCCTACTTGTCGAGAGGGCAACATAGAGGCATGCCATGGGAGAAAACAGGTGTGGTCAGGTCCAAGCCTAAGGTAGTGAAAATCTGTCGTTGGGCCTTTGTTTATTGTCATAGCATATCAAAGCCGGATAGGATTGCAGTCTTTAAATTGAAATGGAAGATCTGATGCTGAAGGGATGAGTGATATGCGTGGTATGAATACGGTTTGCCCAGTTGCTAGTCCATGTGGGATGACGACGTCTATGACGTTGGCATGCACAGGCCTGTGAGTCGATAACGTGTTCCACTGGTGATGTTGGTGGTCCTAAGATCTGAGGACAATGATGGGGAGCAAGTTTAAGAGTGACGTTTGTGTGGTGGTAAGCGCTTGCGGTAATTAAGGGAATTCAAGAAATCCACAGGGAATGGAAGCTTCGTTGACAGTTAGAGTCGAGTCCGATAGACCCTTCCAAAAAAGTGCACATTGTCGGTGATATTGACATATATCGCCAGGGGAGTCCCAATGAGAAGGAATTCCTTAACTTAAAATAACTTAGCTAATAAAAATTCGCTGTTTCCCTTTTAAGTATACATTTTAAATAATATATTTTAAATATGCATATATATTTAGGATGAAGAAAAGAAGTTGCGCGCCTGGGCGAGAAATAAATGTTTTTTTTTATTTCCGCGACTGTCGAGTTTTCAAACTCACGGACCCCCTAACGTATGAGGAAAGCGTGCTACCCGATGGTGCTACCAATGCGCCACAGCCGCGGAAGCTGGCAACGACGCGTATACTACATGGGTTAATCGTAGTCGCTTCAATACACCGGTATGCATTTTAGCTCAGCTGTTAATAAAAAACGCTTCGAATTGACTTTATCCTGTCTTTCATCATTGCAAAAGTGCGCGGTTACCCTATGAGTGGTAATGCATCGTTTACAGTCGACGCAATTTAAACATGCGAGCAGATTCAGAGAACATAGCTCCAAGCGCAAAGCTGTCAACAACACGTACTACATTCGTACGGTAGTGACGTCGATCGATATACCGGTATGGTATCGGTAACACGAGTGTTAAATAAAATGGCTTTAAATTCAACTTTCGTGTTTTCATCGTTGAAAAAGTGCGCCAATATTACTGTATGAGTGGTAATGCATCGTTTACGAGTCGCAATTTTAAATCATGCGAGCAGATTCCGAGAACATAGCCTCCACAGCGCAAGCTGTGCAAACAACGTACTACATTCGTACGGGTAGTGGACGCTCGATCGATATACCGGTATGGTACCGGTACACCAGTGTTAAATAAAACGGCTTTAAATTCAACTTATCGTGTTTCTATCGTTGAAAAAGTGCGCCAATATTACTGTATGCGGTGGTAATGCATCGTTTACAGTCAAGCAGTTTGAAATCATCGCGAGCAGATTAGAGAACATAGCTAACAAAAAATGGGCTGTTCCCTTTTATAGTATAGATACAATAATGTAACCCAAACCCAGGATAGCGGTTACAACAGCGTCCCTATTTTTCTGTGGAGGGAACCCCTGAGTGACATCACTCAGGCGGTTTGCTGGTATGGCGTTTCAGAGACTAGCCTCACAGCAATTCGCAAACTGGTTGGATGTTTAAAACACGCAACCTTTCTTCGCCTATCATGGAACTTACTATGTATCACAATACTTGCTGTAATTAAAACTAAGTATAACCTGTTACAAGAAATTGAGCCGGCGTGGTCGCAGGGAGATTTGCGGTGGGCATGCTGTGGTGGGGGCATACCAGCTGTATGCGTATGCCGGTATGTAGCTGTATGCGGCCGGTCAAAGGTTATTTTCGCCGAGTGTTGCTGTCGATTGTCCAATCTCCCTGCAAGCCCACGCCTCGCGTGTGAGCAAGAGTGGTAGATAGCGCTGCCTTTTGCTTTAATTTCGGCGGAAAACGCATCGAGTTGGTGGCATCACCAGAATGGAAAATCGTGTCGGTACGTTTTAGTCTGTTATCTCCGGATTTGCGGGTGTATACGAAGGAAACGAATTTCGCACGATGCTGAGGCGAAGTACCTGTGTACGATTTGAGGCTCTAAGGTTGATGAGTTACGTCGTAGTAAATCGTAGGTATTATAAGGCTAGTAAATGATGAATTTCCCTTGTTTATTGAAGTCACACTCCTTCCCTCCCTATTATCTACTCCTGATCAGTATAGTATTGCTATGCATCAATTAATATGATTTTATTATTGTGCTTTTCAGTGAGGGTGGATTCTTTAAGGCACATCTCTATTTTCCAAGGGAATATCCTCTCAGGCCGCCAAAGTTAAAGTTTATATCGGACATATGGCATCCAAACAGTGAGTGCATAAACTGGTTTTTACAGAGGGCTTGTACGGTTGTTTAATAGATCAAAATACCTTCACATCGATGCATTTACACTGGTCAATGCTCACACCAACATGTGCGTATGCACGCACACGTGCACGCACACATCCGTGCACGTATCGATAGCATGCGAGCATACGATGCATGCTTCCAGACGTTCATACCTAAATTTTCTGTATCGGGGTGTATTCGCAAACCCCTGCCGCTGCATAAAAATTCTCGTTTTCGAATGCTGGTGTTCTTGTTTGCCTCCTAGTTGAGTTGAACTGGAATGTGTGCACATGCTATATAAGTACACCTTATGGCAGGCCTACGTGCACAGGTCTGCATCTATGTGCCCACACCTGAGTCTTCCTTCTCTGTCTGTTCACAAACTGTCATTAAAATTAGGGGTGCACCGGATCCAACTTTTTAAGTTCTGGCCGGAACCAGAACCAGGCGGAACTTGAAAAAAGTTCCGGCTGGAACTACCTGGCCGGAACCGGAACTTAAGCTGGGAATACACTTGACAGTTTTAATTGGACCAGTATTGCGCAAACTCACTCGGCCTGAACGAAATATTATTAGCAGGCACATCCAGTGTTGAAGTGTTCTCATTAGGAACCGGCCACCGGCCGAATTGACCGTCTGCTCTGCTGTTTCGGCCGGTTACAATTGGCTCAAGTATATTATTTTTTTAAATAATAATGATAATAATTTATTTGCATTTAGTTTGCTCTAATTATTCTCCAAAGTGAAAGTGTTTTATGAGCTACTACTAATAAATCAGTTGAGTATATTTGTATGCATGTTATCAAGAGCAGATAAAGAAGGAGAGCGTACAACGGTAAAATGCTGAAACCATGCTGCAGTATTAGTCGAATTAATAAACTTATCCCGTTTTATTTTGACGATCCTTTGCAGTATTATTGATTAGCTGTCTTACCTTGTTCATATAAAACAAACCGCATGTCCCTACGATGCCCCTACGCTGAGATAATGAGCGGTGAAAATCTGGTATTTTCGCTGAACACCGACTCGAGATCCGACTCCAGATTTTCACCGCTCATTATCTCAGCGTAGGGGCATCGTAGGGACATGCGGTTTGTTTTATATGAACAAGGTAAGACAGCTAATCAATAATACTGCAAAGGATCGTCAAAATAAAACGGGAAAAGTTTATTAATTCGACTAATACTGCAGCATGGTTTCAGCATTTTACCGTTGTACGCTCTCCTTCTTTATACGCTCTTGATGTTATGTGCACAAGAAGTATTGTTTTGTTTTTGAGTAACGCTATTTACGTACTTAATTGTTTAACTCTTATAATTACTAAATCGTCATAATTTTGAAACTTTTGGTGAACTCTGAATGTACCAGGAGAAACCAAATTGGGAAAAAGGACCATACTGTAATCCAAATGTGTCTGTTTACTGCAGCTCAGAATACACCAGATTGCATCTCAGAGCATCTAGGTTTAAAAAAAAAAATTGGGTGGGTACCCCCAAACCCCCCGCCCGCACTCCCCCACGGCCTGTTGCAAAAGCATTTCGGCCTGTTACTATAAAAGATAATGAAAACCCTGTGTGACTCAGGCGATTAGGACAATGCTCATTGTTCTACATGTTCTCATTATGTCACATGTTCTCATGTTCTCATTATATACATGTTCATATTCTACATTGTTCTCATTGTTCTCAATGCTACAAAGTTCTAATTACAGGATGGTTGTTAGGTGTATGAATCATCTGCTTTAATACACTTACAGTGCATAATTCTGGCATCTTATTCGCGAGCGAATTGTGTGGCAAAACCTGCATGTTGCAATATCCCTGGTTTTAGTCGATTATTTTCAACTAACAAACAGATGCCATTCCTGTGGCTCTAAGAGTATTTTATTTTAAAAGAAAATCTCGGGAATCACCTAACATCAGTTAGGTTCAGTTCAGTTAGTTAGCCGATGTTCAACTTCAAGTGGCAAACGTTTTCTGGGCAGAATAGTGGGAAGTTGTTAACACTATATTGTCAGCAAGTTGACTCTATTGACGCTCAACTACATTCAGTGACTGATCTTTCGGGCCGGAACCGGATCTTTGAAAAATTGGGGATCCGGCCGGATAGTTCCAGTGCACCCATAATTAAGATTCTCATTCTCAAATGTGGTTTCCTGTTGCAAGTTGCATTAGTTGAGGAAAATGGAGATGTGTGAACATTCGTTCTGTAATGCCGTTTCATCCTCCGTAGTTGAGAAAAAACGGAGATGTGTGAACATTCGTTCTGTAATGCCGTTTCATCCTTCGTAGTTGAGAAGAACGGAGATGTGTGCATATCGATCCTGCACGAGCCAGGCGACGACAAGTATGGCTACGAGAAGGCGTCCGAGCGCTGGCTGCCGATCCACACCGTCGAGACGATCATGATCAGCGTCATCTCTATGCTAGCCGACCCGAACGACGAGTCACCGGCGAACGTCGACTCAGCGGTGAGTGCGAGCAAGCGTGGCGTGGCATGGAGGCGATCACCTCGTTCGCGCCATCCCCGCGGATACGGTCACCTGGCTCGCGCCGTCCCCGCGGACACGGTCACCTCGCTCGCGCCGTCCCCGCGGACGTGGCGTCTGGTCCTTCGTGTCGTCCGCGGGATGCTGACTACTAAAGGAGTGACCACGGTGAACTTTACCACTCGCTTAAATTAACCTGTCTGCCTTGTGTGGTTGACAGGCAGAGTGTAGACAGTCGGTAACGTGATAGTATTTTCTAAAAATAATGTTTAGTAACGATTCTCCCCACCCCATTCGCACCCTTGTGGTTAGCTAGGTACCATAACAAGTCTCCAAAGCCTGATGTATCTGTAATGTGCTCACCTGTCAAAACTGCGTTAACCTGTTCGATCGTTTTACTGAATGGCTGTAAACTTACTCACAATTCAGTATATTGAGAGCAGTCGGTAATGCTAATTATGGCCTACAGGTGGCAGTAGTGCCCCTAAGAATATTGATGTAGTGGTCAATATGCTGTTGGTTAAGCAGTGATGGTATTCATGTTTATTCTATTTGTCAATATTGGACAGTTACGGTATAATGTCAGATAACAGACTGATGCATGCATGCTGATATGGTGCTTTTTGTTTTTACAATTGCAGAAGGAATGGCGGGAAGACTACAATGGTGAATTCAAACGAAAAGTGCAGATGAGTGTTAGGAAAAGTCAAGAGGAAGCGTGGGACTAATTTGGGGATACAAAATCACATATGTAATTGTAAGTGTATCAGCAAGTAGTTGGGCTAGTGTTTGTTTAAAAGTGAATAAGTATTCTTGCGTCAGTGAGTGAGCAAACAATCGAACAAGTTATCAAGGTCAAATGCTATGCCGCCTTCATCAGCATACTGTATAATTTGCTATCGACACCTTACAGTTGTACGTACAAGCATGAACAACGGGAAGCACGTGTTAGTATGGAGGCATGATTGATCACGCTCACAAACTAGACAGTTGGTTGTTAGCTCATCTGACATAGTCAGATGCAGCTTGTAGAATCGCATGATCGTCCGTCCGTCCGTCCGTCCGTCCGTGCGAGCGTCCGTCCGTCTGTCAACAGTTGGGCACAAATCTTAACCACTCGACGTACGGTCACGGTATTCGGGACGTGGGGGGGTAATCCGAAAACGAGTTGGGATGTCGAAGCTGGGGGTCAAAGGTCAAAGGTCAAGAGGTGTAAAAGAAGGGGGAACATTCACTCCTTAACTTAAGGTATAGGGAGGAAATGCAGAATTGCGGCACAAATCTAAACGGCTCGACCTAGGCTCGTGATAGTTGGTGTATAGCATCATGGTAGGAAAAGCCATCACTGTGCCGAAATTGGAGGTCACAGGTCAAAGGTCAATGGGCACAGGGCAGATTTTAGACATTTTCTGAGGACATGGTCTGACGGAGCGATTGAAAAACTTTTTTGTTTCAGCGGTGACCTAGCATTTTTATGGCATTATTGAAAGGACCATGAAATCTACTTTCTGCTGACATGCGAAGAGTAAGTGTCAGATAACCTTTTGACCCTCAAGAGGAGGGTTAAACATGGATTTGTTGACTGTCTGTTAGAAAGAATTTGACTGCCGGGTTTGCTAGTAGAATCTATACATGCCTGGATGTATGAGGCTACAATGTCACAGTGAAATTTCAAAAGCTAAATTTGGTTAAAGAAGGTTTATGCTCCTTAAATCTTATAATTTCTATGGCATTCTGTACTGTCAGTATGTTACATGTAACGTATGCCACTGCCAGTGGCTACTGCCAGTGCATGTGTGGGTGGTACTGTGGAGTTTTTGCCTGTGTTAATTGGTTACAGGTGGCAGCTCTCTATTGCAGCCTGTAGGCTTGCGTAGGTAAATGGATGAGTGCTTACCTATTCTGTCTTGCAAATAGTTGTTGCTACTACGTATGATGGGAGCTTCCATCTTTAATCTGAAGACACTTAAACGTACGCGCCATCTCGTGGCAACTTTCATAACGATCCCAACGAACATTCTTTTGAGAAGGTTCCTGATACCATCCCTGTGCATTCCACTGTTTCGGCGTGTATGTGAACACATTTGGGACTAACAGGGTTTACTAGAATCCCACCACTCCACCACAGAGTCACCGCAGTAGACGTTAGATGAGCGCTGTCACTCTGCGGCACTTGTTTTGTATGAGTGGGAGCAGGTGGGGGATGACAACAAACTGGCGGATTCGCAAACAAGTTCCCTATCGATCATCTCTATCTCACAATTGAATTTGCTAGGTCCTGAGCCTGATTGTGTTCGTCCAAAGGGCTGACCACCGTTAAAAGTTGTTTTGCTTGCAGTAACCTGACCTCAAGTTTTAGTGGTGCATAGGTAGGTTGTGCCAAAAAAACTGACGTTCATAACCCAACTAGTTGTATTTATCTGTGAGTCGAATAACTAATCATTGAAAAATTTATCGCAGTCCTAGACTGCAGATTATTACCGACCGGTTATAATGGGTTACTGACTCGGTAGGCAAAATGTTGCGGGGGGGGGGGGGGGGGGGGGGGTCAGATGACTAACATCGGCAGCTATGGGATGTCTAGTTATAGCTCTAGAGACTAGAGCGAAGGGCTATAGCTCTAGAGCTAGAGTAGTTACTGCTCCTACAATGTGTAGACTAGCTTGTGTGCAGAGTTACACTACGGCCTGCTTGTGCCTCAGTGCATGGTTATAACTAGCATTACTGGTGTAGCCCCTTCGCTCCAGGGCTGGGAAGCTACACTGGTAGTGCTAGGATATGACATGACAGTGCACAGACTGGTTCTACTGTGCGTAGCTGGCAATTGAGCTGGCCTGGAATAGTTTGATGGCAGTCTGCCAAAAGTGTGTTTACATCTTTTCTGTAAGATCGGCGAGGCATCTTTCTTTGCGACGTTAGAAGTGCGTGTGCTGTGTGTCAACTCTCCCCTTCCCCATCCAGCCCCCTTTAGGATATCCCTGTAGGATTCTTCATGTAGGAAAAAAAAGAGTGAAAAGTCAGAAAAAATGCGGCGGATGTGGAGGTGGTTGTTAATCGGTGTGTTGCTGCTGTTGTTGTGTAGTCGGTCTGCACTGGAATGTCACGTGCCTGCATCGTTAAAATGCACCGATGGTGCGTAGAGAGACGGGTTAGTACGGGCAGGCTGTGTTAGGAAGAACGACTGCATGCGCTAAATGCTTGCGCGTGCGTGCGTGCGAGCGTGCATGCCCACTGCCAACAAATGTTCACATCAGTGCAGAGTGTTTTCCCTCCCTGGGTGATCCGCATGCAGGGTCTGTCTCGCTGCTGTTTGGGAAAAACTGAAACTGATGGTAATTATGCTGCCCCCTGGTGAGATGTCAGGTTACTCCATTTGGGAAATTCAATTACTCATTGTGCCGTAGGGGGTGATGCGGACAGAAAATATTGGGGTGCTGTACGACTGCTTCTGATCTTTATTTGTTAGGGAATATATTGATCTATTGGCATTGCACAATTTGGCCGCGCATGTGAACCGAGTGGGGAGCCAAGTGGGGGCACACTTTTGTGAGTTGACATCTCCCCCACTACACAGTGAGCAAATAATTAGCGGCGTTGTGCTTTCAGCATCATCACGGCATCTCTGAGATGCGTACGCGGGTTAGCGGTATAACTAGTACCGGAGCGCGTGCGCTCGATAATGAAAAATGTCGCCCAACTCGCGTGCCGGCGATTTTAAATCTTAGCTTTCTGCGCGCGTTAAATGAGTCCCTGCTGTTGATGTAATGGTCTAGAATACGGCATTCAGGCAGCGGCCTTTGATTTCGGGATTGTATGCCAATGTAATTACCCGAGAGTGAATAGTGGTGGCGCAGTGATCGGAACGAATGCTCGAAGATATAGGAATTCCTTGCAAATGCTTTTTAGAAGAGTTCTTTTAGGGGGGAGTAGGTGCTCGGCATGGTAAGATTTTGTAAATAATCTCTGGATGGTAATTTCGAATGAACTACGCGAATCAAATAGGGTGGCTGCTATTCTGGAAATGTGAGTTTACTTTGAATGTCTGAGGTTTTCTCTTTTTGTGTGTGAATAGTGTTAGAAATATCTATGTGGCTGCGGTGAGTTGCGTGTAGTATGTGGGAGGGGCTGGTTGCTAATGCCTTGCTGTGTAAATACGTGCAGGTCTGTTAAGAGCAATTTGCATACGCGCACATGCACACGTAATTTAATTTGCTGACACTTCCCGACCTGCGTTCGTGCATGGATGCGTGCGTGCATGTGGTGCGTGTATACATGTATCTTTAGGTCGTGTATATCCGTGATGATCGTGAACGTGCATATAGGGGAATGGTGATGCTGATATTTTTATGGAACCAATTTTCATGGCCTGACTTGTCACACGTGTGTGTGTGTGTGTGTGTGTGCGTGCGTGCGTGCGTGCGTGCGTGCGTGCGTCAGGGAAAAAAATATTATTTATTTTTCAGAGGCTACTTTTCAAGCTCGCGTGCATGAAAATAGCACTCTAAAATTTGGTTTGCATTGAACTCTATGCAAATTTCCGGGGGCTCTTTTTGGCATTTCGGGGGCTAAATTGCCCCGAGCCCCCGTGTATTTTTTTCACTGGGTGCGTGCGTCCGTGTATGTGTGTACAGAATTTCCCTACTCGTCAGGAATTTTCGTAAAAGTAACTCAATCTAATATAATGTAACTGCAATAATTTAAATTACGTAACTTGGCAATGATTTACCCCAGGCAGAATTGAATAACGGCTATGTTAATGTAAGCTGCAGTTAGTTTAAAACTCGTGAAATTATTCAAGATGAAATGTAAAATCATGCGGAGTTAGTCCGCACATTATATTATTATGTTGCAATGTACATGCATGTGTGCGTGTACCGTATACCCCACTGCCTGTTATAAGAAAGTTCCATGAATCACAGTGTTTATAGAGGCAACTCTCTCTAGCACACCTCCAATGCCCATCTCTTCTTTCTTTGCAGTTGGGATATAAACTGTCTACCAACTCTCGCTTGGAAAGAAGCAAGCGACTTAATTCACGTACGAAATGGCACCACCGCATGCCGACGTTCGACGACATTTTTCTCCGAAGAGCTGCAGACGCCCGGACGCCATTGGCTGCAGTGACGGCACTCGTGGATCACTGTTCCGTTGCTAGGTTATGCATCTCTAATTAACGTGAATGGTGACAGGTGAGATGTCACCGGCCAGTGGCCGCTGGGAGGCTGGCTAGCTCCCTCCCCCTTCCCCATCTCTCCCTCTACTTAGTTCAGCCTCACCTCTAACCTAGTCGTGCTCACTGCACTAACTCATGGTACTAATCTCACTAATCCTGTCATCACGGCGGCAGTGGCGGCAGCAGTTGTCATGGTAACGCACGGACGAGAACTCGCTTTTTTCAGTTAAAAATCAAAAATGAACAAAATGAAATATAATTGAGATTTTTCTCGTAGAGAGGGGCGGGGGGGTTTCAACGCGGAAGCCTCCCCACTGGTTACCTGTCGGATGATGCATCGTCGTGACAACGGATACGTCTGACTGGCGTTACCTTGTGTGCGTGGATGTTGTGGGGGAGAGGGTAGCGAAGCATGTAGTCTACGCATCAGTGGGCGGTCAACACTGGTTGTCACTGACTCGGTTTGTAGTGGTGTGTCGTGCTCCCGTCTCAACCTAGGTTAGGCGGTTTTCTTATTCAGAGTAGCCATCAGAAATGGGAGTGGATGCGATTTCTAGGTATTAGTGGGTGCAGACGAATTTTCCACCTCGACCTCCTCCCAGAAGAAGAACCTGATCAGATTATATAATAATGTGTCACGCATATACGGAGTCTGTTGCTGATCTCGTGGTCATGCCACTAGCTTTAAACCTTGACCAATGGTCCGAGACCCCGCGCACGACTATGCAGTGTTAATCGTTATGCACTAGGAAGGTGGATGGCTTGTGGTTGGTGGTTTCTTCTGAGGTGCACAGTCAGTCGCACGACCCTCCTTCACACGGCTAAGTATTTGCAATAGCTACCGCAATCTATTATCTGACATCCGAAGTATTTGGTGATGCGTCGTTAGTGATGGTGACGGCTGGAAGGAATGTGGGAGGTGCTGCAGTGTAATATATATGACAGCTATGGTGTAACAAAATGTGAATTAGAAACTGTTTTTTGCTATAAAAGTTAAAAGTGGAATAACTAAAATGGGTCCCCTCTAAAAGGAATTGACCATTCTCGTATTAACCTGGCATATATATTATTAGCTCTGCTGTTCACATGAGTGTTACCTGACCTGTTGTAAATAGTGAATGAGTTGTTTCTCTCGCTGATGTTTTTTCCACAATTAGCATAGGTGTTCAGATGCTCTTGCTGCAAGTCGCAATATCTAACGAACTCCGCAATTCTCCCTCCTCCCTAATGCCGTGCGCGCGGTGTCTTCTAATCAACTGAGCACGCATTGACGACGTGCCGTCATAATCGCCCGTCCCCGGCTCTGCTCCCGGCCCCTTCCCCAGCCCCTTCCCGTCTCTGCCCCGCCCCTCCCCTGGCCCCTCCCCCGGCCCATCCCCCGGTCCTTCCTGTCTTCTGTTGCTAATCCACGGTAGTGTGGATTAGGTTTCGCTCTTCGTTTGCAAGGTGATGAGTGGTCTGCCATGCAGACTCGTTTTTTGTAATATAGTCCCGGCCTTTCGTTCGAGCGCCACTGTAGCCGCCGCCGCCATTGCCGCTGTGTGGATCATAGCTCGTCGTGGATCATAGCTCGTTGTTTGACTGTTGCGCGTGTTTTCCCTCTGGCGGAGGTGAGGCGTGCGGCTGTGCAGCAAGATCACATCGGCGAAACCTTCGTGCGATTTCACTAACACTTGTTTTCGTGTCGACTCGACATTGTGTGCCTGCGACGTGCCTTGCTTCCCCTGTGTGGAGCGTGCGCGTGCGGGGGGAATTGTCTTCTTTGTTTTGCGCGCGTTTCCAGACAGCATTGAACTTCAATGAGTCGGCTGTCTGGGCTAATCACGACGATGAGGAGGAGGAGGGGGAGGAATCGCCACGTCGCAAGTATCGCAATCGCGTAGCATTAGCGTTTGTTTGTGCGTGCTCGACATTTGCTGCGTTCGTTTCGGTAGCCATTGCAATTTTCTTGTGGGTTTCTTCAACATGTAGACGTAGTTCTGTTGATTGGGTAAAGAAAAAGGCAGACGTTAACCCTGGGATCCGATTTCTCGATAAAGACCCAAAAGACGTTTTACCTCGATTTGCGTTTCAGATTCGTAAGTTATTCGACGCTGTGTTTGGTGAATATTTAGTAGGCACGTGATCAATAATAGACTCAATGCATCCTATTTTGAGAGAGGCGGAGCATGTAAGAGCTTACGAGAGTCTGACGCTGTAGGCAATTGTATTTCTAAAAAAACGGTGCAAATACGTAATAAGGACTTGCAGGTGGCAGCACGTGCCGGAACCGAATTTTATCGTGTGCATGACTCATGTTCGTGGTAGGAGGCAAGGGAGTGCTAGATTCACCGGGTGCTATGAAAGCCAACCAATATGCTATAGTGTCCACACACCCTCCTCCCCTCTCTCTCCCCCAACCTCCGTGTTGCTCCCTACACGCGGTCCCCGTGTGCAAGCTCTGTGTTCGTTTACGGTTTTGATGCTTCTCTTTTTTAACACGTCCCTGATTTTCACAGCGATCGCGTTCAGGTTTGTGCAGAGACACTGACAGCCCTCCGTTCTGTTGAATATCTAATTCGCGCGATGACTAGCTCCCCCTACCGGCAACATGCTGGCATCGCTCCAAGGGTTTCATGTGCGGTTAATCTGTATGTGAGTATAGATAGTGAAGACTAAGATCAACAATGCATTAGTCGTACACGTTAGCAGGTCCACACGTGTAGCGCTGTTTGCTGCGTGGAGCCGGCTGCGTGTTCTACTAATGTTCTAGCTTACTGTCCTACTCGTACATTGGTTTGGTTTCGCGGTGCGTGAATATGGAAAGTTTTCTACTTGTTGGGTTCTACCACTGGGCACATGGAGTTGCGCGTACATGTCGCGTGACATACAACCTAGAGTGTGTTCGCTTCCGTTGAGTGCGTTTGTGTTTTCGTTTAATTCTTCTGCTTCTCTTTCTTCTTCATCTGTAGTTACTCTTCACGTAACGACTGGCCATATCCGTGTCAAATCGACGGATATCAAGTGGAAAAAATATATCGACAAACTATAATATACACAGACTTGATTTTGTAATAATTTTATTCGGTAAAATAAACCGACTATTTACAGAAAAAAGAACCGCTGTATCTATTTTGATTTCTTTTTACCATGCGTGCTCGCGCGCGCGCGTTGGCGTACGTACGTGTGTGCTTGTCATTGTCGTTTGGTCAGCAGCAATGCATTTATACATGTATTTCTGTCCTGTGGCGCGTGGCGGCAGGATGAAACCTTTATATCTACGGTACGGTACGGTACGGTACCTTTATATTAACGGTACGCGAGCCGACTACACGGCAAGACATTGGGAAACGAAACTACCAGTCGATTCATCGCCTTCACGAGACAATTCCAGTAGAGGAGTAGTTACCGTACCTTTACCAAAGAAGACTCTGTCCCCCTCGTCTGTTATTCATACGAGTCCTCATACATGTACAGCAGGATTTTCTCTTCGCAAAAATTTTGGTCAATATATTCATTAGCTTGCATTTAATCTTTCAGATGGGGAAATTAATTGAATGACGCTGTCGCGTTCTTGCTAATGAATTTGAACAGCTGAGGCTCAAATGAGAATATGGGTGGGGTAATAGCAGAGGCGGATCTAGGGGGGGTGTCCGGGGGGGTCCGGACCCTCCTTTAATTTCAGTGCCCTAAAAAAATACATCCCAATTTTTTTGTCTCAGCTGACGAAGACAGATGCGAAAAGCACTCAGGATGTCGAATTTGGGGGGTCAAGGGTCAAAGGTCAAGATGTGTTAATGGAGGGGAAATATTTCCCCCTTAACTTAAGGTATAGGAGGAAATACGGAATCGCAGCACAAATCTCAACGGCTCGACCTACGCTTCTTATATTCGATGTATAGTGTGATGGGAAGGAAACCCATCACCAGTGTGAAATTGGAGGTCAAAGGGCAATGGGGAAAGGTCAGATATCAGACATTTTCTGAGGACATGGTCTAACGGACCGAGTGCAAAACTTTTTTGTTTCAGCGCTGACCTACCGTTTTTATCACTTTATTGAAAGGACCATGAAATCTACTTTCCGCTGACGTGCGAAGAGTAAGTGTTTGATAACCTTTTGACCCTCAAGAGGAGGGTTAAACATGGATTTGTTGACTGTTAAAAAAGGACTGAACTGCTTTTGCTATTAGAGCCCCCCTCCACCCGCCCCTCCCTTCACCACCACCACCACGCTCGCGCTCGACGCATATCCATGATAACATGTTAATATAGCGTAAAGTTACACAGCTGTATCTTTATTACTGTACTACCAGTAGGTATAGCAAAGCCTATCATAGATTTTAGATCTGTATTAGTAGTATCCTAGATATCTGAGCGTGAACGCGGGAGGCAGGAGGGCGCACTTGATTCGGTTGTCAGTGAGTTTATCAGAAGAATACCTGGCTACAGTACACGTCAGTTGAGCGCTGTCGCTCTGCGGCACTTGTTTAAGGCTAATATATATAAATTCGTTATAAAAACCTAGAAATTGGCAAAGAGGGGTGTCCGGGGGACCGGATCTGATGAATTTTGGTTTTTGAACCCGATTTTATTGTTCGGGGTGCAATCAAACTGCATGCAGCGCCCCCTTCGTACAACTCAGGATACCATCGCTCATTCTGCTGTCAGCTTAGGTTAGGAATAATTTCACCAGGACTGTACTGGGATTTTTTATGTTGATGCCTGGATAAACATCAAAATACAGTTCCACTGCTCTGAAAATATATCTAAGGATAATATTTTCCTGGGAAGGGAATTTCACGTCTTGGTCGTTTGTCTACATTCTGAAGTTTTCTGATGTGTAGGCCTTGTCTCTATTTCTGGGAACTGGAACCACACAGCAGTCTACTGTCTTGCTGATAATTATTAATTATACTATAAAAAGATGTTCTAAAATAGGCCTATAGTTTTGCCTTGTGTTTCACATGATTTTCCAGAAGTAAATTTCACTGTAGGTTGACTTAAAAGATAATTTTCTGCTAAAAAGTTGGAATTCCATCTTTCATTCTAGACATCAAACTTACTGTTCAGATGCTCTCAGAATGCACAATTTTTTACAAAAAATTTTGTGGGCGGTCCCCCCCCCTCCAAGCAGCGACGTGCGTTTGGCAGCTGTTTAAAACACCAGAAAAATGAAGCAGGAAAAAGTGCCCTTTATTGCTTCCTGGACACCCCCCTTTCAAAAATCCTGGATCCGCTCCTGCATAGCGACATGTAGAATGTATATGTACGGGTTTCACGTGTTTTTTGCGAACTAGTCACCTCTATGACGTAAACTGATCTTATGTAAACACGACTGGTCACCATGGTGATGACCTGTCGTCGCTGACCAATCCCCGGGGGTTTCAGGACAGAGTGATCGCTGATTGGCTGTCGTCTCTTGCTGTCACATTGGGTGAGCCTCAACTTAAGGACCAGGATCTGGATCCGTCTTACAAAACGAATGGCCAGATCTTTTAACGGGCCGCGTCGAGAAACATGATCTCTATCCAGCAAACACGCTCGATATGTTCACTAATGGTGAAGGCAAATTTGTGTTCATACGCGCTAACAGAAATAGCAAGCAATACACACGATATCTAAGCACACACTGCAGGGGCGTAGCCTCCGTAGAAGGCCAGTGCAGGGGGTGGGGAACTGCTCCCTATAGGGTTGGGATCAGAAGAAAGCAATAAGACTAATAAATGTATATAATCAAATTAAATTAAATAAATAACGGACCAAAGTTATCCCGTTGGCCTAACGTCTCACCATGCCCTTTTAGGTGGCAAAGGTTTACAGCTTGGCAAAAATAAGTTCAATGTGCTTCTTAAAGCCACGGACCCTTTTGCGATAGCAGTGAACCTGGCGATAGGTACATCACGAATACAATGCGTTCGCGGAAGCCAGCGAGTAAGTAATGGATTTCCGCGTGCGTGCAGATTTTACGCCTCCGCAAGTAAAACATTTACAAACACAATGAACTGATTCCGGTCGACATATGAAATAGCGAAAGCACCGTTATCCGATTAATTCTAGGCTTCTAGTTATGAAACCGAACGCGTGCATCGTCGATGGCTTGCTGTGTTATCAGTCAGTTAAATCCGGCACGCCTGCTCGCAAGGAAATTACCGTGTCATCATTCATCTTGAGGACATTCTCTCTAGAGGTGGATTGGAAATGCGATGTTCGCGTTCCTGAGTCATGCAAGTACGGCACGAGCCACGGGAAAGAAATAGCAGGCGGCGCACATCTGTACTTGCTTTGCCACTGGTCATATATATACGTATCAAGTACGTATGGATATATGTGTGTGTGTGCGTGCCTGCGCGCGCGTGCGTGCGCGTGCTTGCGTTCGTGTGCGTTAATGGCCTCCATTTGATGGGGAATCGTTCTTTTTTAGAGATGCGAGTGAAAGAAGTGTTAAACGTATCACGTCGGCGAAGGAAAACCTGTGAAATTTCACATGACCTCGGTAAAAGAAGCGATGACGTCGGCAGAAAAAAAAGCAGTGACGTCAGCGATCGCTGATTTCCCCGCTTTCTGAAATTGCGCCCCTCTTGCGCCATAGCGTTTATACGCTTCTGTGTGAAAGATGGGGTTGTTGCGCTAGTTCGCTCGAATAATTCTACGGGTAATAATTTAACGCGGTTGAAAAACAACAGGCTACCCACGCATCCTCGCAGCATGGCGGCACGCTAACGGGAGAAAGACGCGCTTATGCGGAAACGCAAATCGCAACACCCGCCGACTTAAAATTGTCATCGCGCTTTTTGTAATTACAAAATTACGATTGCTCGGGAAAAATCACGACCAACATACGCTCGACTGTCTACAGCGCGCTGTCCTGCTGGCATACTGATCAGCCGTCGCAATCACGGCGCATGTATATAATTATCGCAGATAGAAGGGGGAGCACGAAGCCAGCCAAGCCATACCTGTAAGCGAGCGAGCGAGCAAGCTCCCTGCCGTACGTGGCCGCGCACCGAACCTGTACGCTGGGGGGTGGGGGAGGGGCGAGACTGCCGTGGGTGTTGTTTGTCGCCACTGCGGACGGGCCAGCGCGATGACGTATCACAGTAACTTCAATATATTGGTATATATCGATATGCAATAAATAGTCGTACGGTCGGGCGAAATGCCCCGGCCTGCCTCCTGGCGGTACCTCGCCAGAGTTGTGAGCACTGATCTCTATATAACACGTTAACACATAACTATAGTGTGTAGAGATCAGTGGTTGTGAGGCGCAGGGCGGGTGACGGTAGAGGCGGTATTACCCACTATGTCCATATCATGTGTTTAGGAATTATTAGGACGAAACGATGGAGCTCTTTTGTGATTCTACGCCTGTGGAGCTGGAGTCTTCCTCGCAGTAGATGCTACCCTCGGCACTGGCGGGACTGCATCGCGCCTGCAAATAACAGCGTAGAGTAGTTAGTATAGGTCTGTATATACTCCCGAGCATTCTCTACCGTGCGTGCTGCCACTCCTCCGCTTCCTCGTACCCTCCGCTATCCCTTCTGCCCCCCCGCGTTACTCTCCCTCTCTTCTACTTCTTTGTTCTCCTCCTGTTTGCGTCTTCGTTCAGCTCACAACACTCCTTTCCCATTATGCTTCTCCTTTTCTATACTATTTCGCTCTCATCTGTCGCCCCTATACCTCGCTGTTGTGTCCTCGTCTCCCGGGACCCGTTTACGCGCTAGACGTGCGATGCGGCTGTGCTCCGCCGTCAGATAGAATTCGTTAGATCGCGTCTAGTGCAGAAACAGCGTCTATTTGCCCACGAGATGCGACGGCTGTAGGAGAGTCTGCACCGATGACTTTTGCGCCAGTACCCACGCGCCACACGCAAACACACACGCACACCCACGCATACGCTCATATACATGCACAGGCACACACACACGCACGTGCACCCACGCATAAGCTCATATACACGCGCACGCACGCATGCGCTTATATACATGCTCAGACACACGCCCACCCATGCATACGCTCATATACACGCACAGGCACACGCGCACACACACATACGCTCATATACGCGCACAGGCACACGCACACCCCCGCATACGCTCATATACACGCACACGCATACGCTC